AATAGGTACGCACATGGGGGGGGAGAGGTGGGGCCCAGTGTTTATTTCCTAAAATGGAAAGCATCCTTTTACTCCGTGGGGCAGCAGCCTCTCACTGTTGAGAATCACGAGTCAATTGCGCCCCTCTACTTGCTTGCAGCCTTTCTGCGCGGCACCGGTAAAATGTTGGGGATTTTTATAAAATTTTGATAAATCTCATTCGAGTGCGACCGGACGAAATCTAATCAAGTGGTGACAACCTTTTTTTTTTTTTGGGAAGCAGCCAATACTTCCAGAACCCATTAATATGCAAATTCAAAATTGATTCGGCCTCTTCATAATTCATATATACGATAGACTATAACTTCTCACAAAGTATTTGCAATCAGTAAATATACAGAAAAGGAAATACGTACCCTTTCATACTGAGATAGCGCATGGAAATGACTTATCTAACATTCAAAAACTAAACTCGCATGATGATAGATCAAAATTTTGAAGGGGGAAAAAAGGGAAAAACATCTACCTTGGTTTTTTTTTTTGTTATTCGTCAATCGCAACATATATATACTAATAATAAATACGGTAAGCATTTAATTGGGTCAATAAATGGAGTGACGGAGGGAGTCGTGGCACAATTGTGTTCACGTGCCGAAGCTCATTCGGCTCACACGCCCTACTAACAACTTCGCGTGCGCTAGGTTTCTTCGACTCCCGAAACGGCGGGGTAAAAGTCCAGTTTTCAGAAAATCACGCCAGCGGCCAATAGGCTCAATGATCCATCCCCCCCCCCCCCCCCCCCCCAAAGTCTTCTCTTTCTCTTTCAAGTGAGACTTTGGACAGCTTGCTTAATCATTTAACCACAATGGAGCTTTAGCACGACTTGCCTTCGTCATCCTTCCTATTTATTTGTCGTGCCTCACCACTATCCAATCGTGGGCCCATCACAGCTCCTCTACTATATGGTTTTTAATTGAAATAAAACAAATGTGTCATTGCAGATTCGACAGGATTTATGCAACGATTAGCCAGTGGCGAAGTTTCCAACAGCGAGCCCATAGAGCCCAAAACATATATATATATATATATATATATATATATATAATATATATTAATATATAATATACTATATATATATAATATATATATATATATATATATATATATTAGCCTTTCAGCTTATATATCAGGACTATTTTCACTTTTTTATTTTATTTTCCTTTTTTTATTAATTAACGTCTCCGAACCATTCCTGGCTATTGGCTGAACAAGCTTGCAAGAAACATTCTGCCCACCCACTAACAAACTTCATCAAATTCAGTGGAAAATTGAAGTGCTCTTACAAGTTTACCTAATATCCTAATTAGGAAAATTTTACCCCGTGATTAGACTAAAGCCCAATTAGGTATCCCAATATCGAACGAGGAAACAAGCGCGGTGGAAAACCATCTCCAAGTAGTCATTGAGGCGGCCCATTCTAGTTTTAAAACAATAAAAAAATAAAATAAAATACGGTTTTTCTATAGAGTGCCCTTGGGCACTCTATAAGAGATGAGAGAGATAGAGAGAAATGAATGAGGAGGGGGCCCCCATGATTTGCATTGGGATCCTCTCTTCATTCATTTCTCTCTATCTCTCTCCTCTCTTATAGAGTGCCCAAGGGCACTCTATAGAAAAACCGAATAAAATAAAAGCGACCAGTATCTAATAATGTTAGTCGATCAGCTATTATATATCTCAATCCCAGCTCCTTAAGTTGCGTGCCAATCCCACGCACAACGTCGAGTTAAAATAATAATAAAGTTCCATTCATATTTTGCTACCCACTTAATATCATCCGCCTAAATTAAATGTCATCTTCTGCTCTCCCGCTCGAAGCGCGAGCATATTTCTTACAAGCCTTCAATATTTGCTGTTATTACCAGAAAATGCCTTTTTTTTTTAAATTCCTCAAAGATGTTGTCCAATTATCTCCACGTATAAATTGAACAGAAAGTGAGGTGAGTTGAGTTTAAGGAGGAGCAGCAGTTTAAAGAGTCACCGCACAAAGGTATGATGGTGTTAAAACCTTATTATCACTATATATGTATTAATAAAAATAGTTTGATTGTATGCCTATTTTAGAAGAATGAGCTGCATGCGTAGACGAATTCGATCCCTATATATATAGAGTAAAACTGAGATTGGTGAGAAAGCTTGTGCATCCTGGCTATATATATATCACAGACTTCAATACAAAGTTTCACTTAGATTTTCAGTAAGTCTCAACTCGGCTAGATTTTATAATTAGTACTATTTTCCCTGAACCTGTCCTGATTCTCAAGGATTTTTTTGGTTAGCAGTTGCTTTTCATCGGTTACCAGTTGCTTTTCGTCCACCAAAAACGAGAAGAAGAAGAAATAATGTTGTTGTTGTTCTAATGCTTTAAAATTGTTGTCGTGCCACACTGCAATATTGAGCAGGGTTTTTTTTTTTAGAAAAAAAAAAACTGCTGGAGTGCTGAGTAGTAGTGAGTACCTGGGTTCTCAAAATTCAAAAAGAGATCCATGGAGATGGAACACGAGGATAATAAGTATACGAAAGACGGAACAACAGATATCCGTGGAAACCCTGCAGCCAAAACGAACACCGGACGATGGAGAGCTTGCCCCTACATTCTCGGTACCCTCCTTCGACCTTTGTCTACCTCCTCCCATCTATCTCAGTTCGTTATTGATCTTCGCGTTACTTCCTTCAGCGAATGAATGTTGCGAAAGATTGGCATACTATGGAATGAGCACCAATCTAGTGAGTTACATGGAGGGTGTCCTCAACCAGGGCAATACCTCTGCTGCCAACAACGTCACTAACTGGTCAGGCACTTGCTACATCACCCCCCTCCTCGGGGCTTTTGTTGCTGATTCATACCTCGGTCGATTCTGGACCATCGCCAGTTTCATGATCGTCTACATCATTGTAAGTATCAACCCCCCACGCACTCTCTCTCTCTCTCTCTCTCTCTCTTCATTAAGAGGAATTTCAGAAATTTTTGACTTGTTGACAGGGATTATCGCTTCTAACCATGACTGCATCTGTCAAAGGACTTAAACCGCCATGCCGTGATGATGTATGCCACCCAACTGCAGTACAAACTGGAACAGCTTTCGTAGCGCTGTATCTAATTGCACTCGGGACGGGAGGAATCAAGCCTTGTGTTTCTTCTTTCGGTGCAGACCAGTTTGATGAATCCGATGAATCTGAGAAGAAGAGCAAGAGCTCCTTCTTCAACTGGTTCTACTTTTCCATCAACATAGGAGCTCTTCTCGCCTCTTCTGTTTTGGTTTGGGTACAGACCTATGTGGGATGGGATTGGGGATTTGGAATCCCTGCAGCGGTTATGGCTATCGCTGTGGCCAGCTTCTTCATTGGCTCACCACTGTATCGCCATCAGAAACCTGGTGGCAGTCCCCTTACAAGGATTGCTCAGGTTCTCGTTGCATCGCTCAGGAAATGCCGAGAGAAGGTTCATGATGACGAGTCTCTGTTGTATGAGGTCACTGACAAAGAATCTGCAATAGAAGGCAGTCGTAAGCTCAATCACACAGAAAAACTGAAGTAAGCAGCATTACACTTAAATCACTTGCATGGATTCAGTTCATGAATTTTCTTTAATGGACATACTTTTACTACTCAGGTTTCTGGATAAGGCTGCGATTGAGACTGAGCATGACAGATTCAAGGCCCGGCCGAACCCGTGGAGGCTCTGCACCGTGACTCAGGTCGAGGAACTCAAATGCATCATTCATCTCCTACCGATATGGGCCAGTGCTGTGCTCTTCTCCACAGTCTATAGCCAGATGAGCACTATGTTCGTCCTCCAAGGCAAGAAGATGGAACCCCACATGGGCCCACATTTCAAGATCCCCGCCGCCTCCCTCTCTATGGTTGACACCATCTGTGTCATCATTTTGGTTCCAGTCTATGACAAACTTATCGTCCCTATGGCTCGTAAATTTACTGGCAACGAGCGAGGATTCACCCAGCTGACTCGAATGGGCATTGGCCTTGTCATCTCCATCATAGCCATGTTGGTAGCTGGCACTGTAGAAGTCATCAGGCTTCACGTTGTAGCGAGAGATAATTTGTATGATTCTAAAGATTATGTGCCTATGTCGATTTTCTGGCAAGTACCTCAGTATCTCATTATAGCGGTTGCTGAGGTTTTCACTTTCATCGGGCAACTAGAGTTCTACTATGATCAAGCACCAGATGCCATGAGGAGTATGTGCTCGGCGCTGTCGCTGACCACCAGTGCGATTGGAAACTACCTTAGCACGCTGCTCGTGACGGTGGTTACTGACATTTCTACAAGAGATGGAAAGCTGGGATGGATTCCTGATAATCTGAATAGAGGCCATCTTGACTATTTCTTCTGGCTTCTTGCAGTTCTTAGCCTCTTGAACTTTGGGGTGTACCTCCTGATTGCAAAGCGGTATACCTATAAGAAAACAACATAGCCTTGATGATTTTGCTGTTACTATTACAGTACTAGCTCACAAGGGAAAAAATTGCTGGAAACGAAGTTTTAGCAAATTTTATAGACAAATGTTTGTTCCACTTGTCCTTGCATTTTAGTTTATGAAATTTGTTCCAATACTAATAAATTTGTCACTGAAAGGTATTTGTAGTTGAAGGAAGCCATATCTTTATTCATGTCGACTACTGATTAGCATCAGCATTTGTTTACATTTTTGGCTATAGATTGGCTGGTTTCTATGATCTATGTATCAAGATCTTTATTTTACTCAACAACACATTTAAAAGATTTCAGAATACGTACGAGCAGAAAGATTTTCTGGGACTAGGCATCTTACAACCATCACTGCTATTTGCAGGATATTACCATCTTGGTGCGCAGCAATTAATATATTATTTTGAATAAAATATTGGAGCAAGATATGCATCAAACTCACTCTAGACAAATTTATTCCATAAACATCTACAAGGGATACCCACAAGATGGGCAAAATTGTCAACACACAAACAAATTAAATAATCCATCCTCTTTTCCCTACATGGTTGCGATTGTATAAGCTTATCCTCAAAAGTTATGGATATTATTGTCCCGGGTTTGGAAATGAGAGGTGCAGAATTGGAGGCCAATACATAGAGAGCACAAGACAATGCTCTCTTCCCTCCAGTTCCTAACTGAACAGGTCGAAATGAACACCCTCAAGGCCATAGTAACTTACTCCCCTATCAGAAACCCACTATCCTTCCCTCACCAAAAAAAGTCCATTAGCAGGCAAAGATCAACCCTCTGTTTCTCCAACTCAGATGAGCCTGAATCAGGCTCCTCATCTTCGTCCAAAGGCGACAAGCGTAAGCAGGAAATTCTGGCAAGGATAGCGATGCTACAAACCCAAAAGGTTCGCCTCACTGATTTCCTAGACGAGCGCTCCGCTTACTTAACTCAGTTTGCGGAAGATGCAAGTGCAGGATTCGATGAGATTGGTGAGAAGGCAATGAAAGAGCTTGATGATGCCGGTGACAGGGTCTGTATTATCACTTATCACAAGAAAACATTATTTGTTGTCAAATATTCATTTTCTTCTAAGTAAGAGATCTCTGTTTGTGATTTTCCAGATATTGGAGAAGTTGGAGGGCAAGATGCAGGCTTTTGAAGAGATTGCAGATATAAACAGAGAGGAGATTGAGAAGAACGAGAAGGTGCTGGAGGAATTTGAGGATCAAATCCAAAAAGACCGAAATGAAGGTCTCTTCTTCAAGAACCTGCGAGAGAAAACACCTGAAGCCAAAGCCGAAGCTAAGATTGAAACACAAAAGCTTAAAGAGATCGCAAAGGAGAATGCAGGCTCAAAAGTTCGCAGATATATTTACCTCGGGTTGATGTCTGTGCTAGCCATCACCATATCTAATGCCATTTTTGCTACTACTGACGTTGAATGGGGGAAAGTTGCAGCATTATCATTCATATTTTTGGGCTTGCTTGCTCAATTCATCTATGAGAGGAGCCTGTCAGGCGACAATCAAGGAAAGAGATAGAAATGGTGATTGAAAATGAAACAGAAGATCAGTAGATAAATTATATTCTTCGTGGAGTCTCTAATTACTGAGTGCGAGCTATTGTAAATGTTGTAGAAGATATACAAATAGCAATGGGTTGGATGTTGCAAGGTAAAATAAACCACAGTAAACTCTAACCTGTGGTCTGATACATACCAGCTACCTTTGCTTTTGCATCAGAACTTTATCTTGGCAATACCTCTTCCACTGCCAAAATAATGTAACCGAACTACAAGTTCTGATGCTGTACGTGCTTGGGAGTTACTTATTTTCTTTCAACAAAATTCATAATAAATCAGAGAGAGGATTTGTGACCAAGTTAAACATGATTAGCAAACTGCAATCTGGTAAAAGGTCAATAGAAAAATTAATCTCTATGTAACTGAAAGCCATGCATGGAGTATTCATGCCCAGGTCCTAAGAAACAAAGTGCACGATGTTTGCGGTTTATGAGTGATTCAACGGCTGAAGAGAATTTGTGAAGAATAATTAAGTTTTAATGTAGCTTGCACGCACATTTGCACGTGCAATAATTCTAGCAGATTTATTGAATAACCTTAAGGAAGCAATAGGAAAAGGAAAAACAACTCCAAGAACCTTAACTAAAAACCTAGGGACAAACAGAAAAGGAAGGTTCCGTCTTCAAGAAAAAGCAATGCACTTGCATAAAATCTAAAGCAAAGATTGGAACAAAACTTTTAAAAGAAAGAAACTTTCGGACTGAATAATAATATGATATAATATAAAATAATCTAATATAATATAAACGCTCAAAATTAACTAGGGTTTCACTCACTCAAATGAAACAGAAACCTTGAACAACATCTAAACCCTAGGTCCCTAACCCTAACAAAATCAGTAGATCAGTGAAACAATTACAGCTAGGGTTTCACTTCTCAGGTTAACTTTCAAATTATAAAATTTAAAAAAAAAAAAAAATATGAAAAAAGTACAGGGAAACACATATACTTTCAATAAAATATATAACTAATTCACAAATTAAGATTAAGATGGTGCTTGAAAACTGTACTATGAGAGGTTCATATGCCTTTTTGAAATACCTTCAGCTGTCCCATAATCCATGCGCTATGCAATTCAAAGCAGCCTTCCATATCAAACTCATACCGTGTTCTCATATGGCAATGCCACTGTGAAATGCCTGTTCTTTCTAATTAGGCTGGCAACTATCCACCTCTTTTGAAAAAACACTTGAGAACTTTGAGGAAGATCTGCTGCATGTAAAAGACCAACATGTAAAAAGCATGAAAGAGGAATAAACTATTAGTAGAGAGAAGCAAAGCCTCACCTCGTATGAATCAGAAGACTGCATCCAGTAAGCCAACTCTTCCGTCCTGTGCTCATGTTCATATCTTTTACACTACAGCTCCTAGGCACATAAAAGCATGAAAGCTGGTTATGTAGTCAATAGCCAGCAAAAAATAGAAATGTTTCTTTACAGTACACACAACATTGATGATTCAATAACTTCACTGTTGAGTATTGCCCTAACTAGAATATTCCAAGTAATGCTACTTGGAATGACTCCATGCCTCAATGCATCATCCAATAAATTAAGGGCCTCAGATAACCTATTACAAGAACAAAGACCTTTAAATACGATGTTATAAGAAATGATATCTGGTCTTAAACCAGCTTCTAACATCTCATCCCATATATCTGCAGCCTTTTCACAGTCCGCATTTTTATAAAGTCCATCCATAAGTGTGTTATGTGTCACAAGATTAGGGGAGCAGTTCTTATGTTTCATATCAAAATAAACACGCAACGCTTCTTCAGTTCTTCCCACAGAGCAGAGACCATGAATAAGAATGTTGTGCATAATTATGTCGACTCCAAATCCTTTATTTAGAACATGATTCCATATGTCAAGAGCAACATCAAGCTTCTTGTCTCGACATAGACCATCAATCAATGAGCTGTGAGTAACCATGTCAGGCTTTAAACCTTTCTCTAGCATTTGTTTTGCAAAAGTTGAAGCCTCATGAAACCTTTCTACTTTGCATAAGCCGTCTATGAGAATGTTGTACGTGACAACAGTAGGAGAGCAACCATTTATGCTCATCTCATTAAAAATCCTTATGGCATCTGTTACCTTAGATTTTCTACAAAAATAGCTCATCAATGTATTGTAAATATGGGAATTGGGCTTGCAACCAAGTTCAACCATCTGTTCGGAAATTCTCAATGCTTCATCCAATCTCCCATTTTTACATAATCCATTTATCATAGATGAAAATGTAAAGGCATCCAATAGATGGCAATGTCCATATTCTTGTGACTCCTTCAACACCCACAATGCTTTGTTAACGTACCCATTTTCACACAACCCGTGAACTAAAACACCATAAGTCACTGAATCAGGATGACAATCATCATCCTTCCCGAGATTCTCCCAAAGTAAAATCGCTTCATTAGCCTTACCATTCCCAAACAAACCTTTGATCAATATATTATAACTTACGGTGTTCCTTGTTCCTTCCTTTCCCATGGACTCCCACAGTCTCAGAGACTCGTCAATCATCCCTGCTTTACAAAATCCATCAAGTAAAGAATTTGACATAACAACATCAAGACCAAACCCCGTCTTAATCATCTCGGAATAAACCCTCAAAGCCCCTCTGACATTCCCCATGTCACACAACCCATTAATCAAAATCCCTTGCGTCAAAAAATCCGGTGGATGCCTATTCCTCATCATCCTCCCCCAAATCTCCATCATCTCCTCAAACCTCCGAATCCTACACAACCCGCTTAGCATTACATTGTACGTCACCACATTCGGCTTTAC